ATGCGCTGTTCGATGGCATCCGAGCTATGGCTCACTTCACGTCATTTATTCACCACTTCGTCGGCACTATATTTCTCTACCGCAAGGATAACGTCGAGTATTTGAATAGTATCAGTATATTTGGCACCTACCGGGGCTGGTTTGTATCTTTATATTTTTACTAGAAGATATAATACTATTATATTTAAATATATTTCAGCACTTCATTAATATAACTCTAATTGTAAAAATGTAATTTACATTTATATCAAAGTAAAGGGGATATACCTACGATGCGCATACATTGTAATCTGGGTCACATTAACAGTGACAAAATAGTGAATATTATAACATTAGTCAGTATAAATATTAATGTTAAAATGTTTAAAGTCTTGTCACTTATAGTGTGACCCCAAATGGCTCCAGTATTCATCGTAGGGATATACTATACTGTACATTAGTATTATAACTCATTTAGACAATGTATATAAATTGATTAAATTAGGGTAGTACCTTTAAATTAAGGTACATAATATAACTGTAATACTATAGAGTATTTTATTACAAACCAAGGATTTAATTTTAAAAATTAAGGTATTAATAGTGAGAATATTTTGGTGATAAGTACACCAAAATGTCAATAAAGAATGAAATTTTTATTCCTGTATTACAAAATGTTTATAACTTTTATACCCTGGTCATAATTATATTGCAAAGACATAACTGGGCGTTTTTAATGCACAGAAAACTCATCCATTCCTAGCACTGCATCATTGATAAGCACTGCAGTGAATGTCGTGAAGCAGTGAATCAATGAGTGCTTGCATTGCATAGCATTGGAAAAAAGGATAACAGTTTCTGTGCATTAAAAATACGCAGTTCTGTCTGCAATATAATTATGACCAGGGTATAAAAATTATGAACATTTTGTAATACAGGAATAAAAATTTCATTCTTTATTGACATTTTGGTGTACTTATCACCAAAATATTCTCACTATTAATACCTTAATTTTTAAGATGAAATCCTTGGTTTGTAATAAAATACTCTGTATATATCATAATAACGTTTAAAATTATTTATTATTAAAAGTACATTATTATTGAACAGGTACCTGGGATACTACACATTTAAATACATTATGGACTTCACGATACTATGCGCGGGAATTGCATCAATCAAATGATTTATACGAAAAGTGGACAAAACGGGTGGCAAACGACTGACTCTAATCACAATTCGCTATTATTTCGATCGTTTGATGAGAATTATTCCGATTTATTACTTGTGTTACTATTTCTTCATGATTTACATCCGCTATTGGGTTAGTCCGAGGTTTGCCGAAAAACGGGTCGAGGATTTGTGTTACGACAATCTGGTCTACAATTTGATATTTGTCGGCAATTTTATCAATAGAGATAACGGAATGGTAATGTTAACGCTATTATTAACATGTTTATTATTTATTTAATAATTCTGTTTTTATATAGTGCATGCCCGTAACATGGACTTACATGGTCCATTATGTAGTATTTACGCCGATATTTGCTATCTTTTTGATCATGTATGTATTAAATTTTAATTTTGATTTATTATTATAAATATAATAATTTATTGCTCAATAGAAAGCCAAAACTAGGTATTTGTGGCCTAATTGGTGCCAACATGTGGTCTATAATATCAGTGTTTCAAATCGCGTACTCCAATGGCATCACCACTAAAGTCATATCCGATGCCATGGGTTTTACTACATATATTGTCAGTCCTATATAGTAAGCAATATTAAATTGTTATTAATATAACATTGATCTTTAAATACTTTAAATTTTACTTCTTAAAATATAACTAATAGCTGTTAGATCATAGATTTTTACTATACAAAAAATAATAAAATATTAATTATATTTACTTTTCTTAATCAATGATCTATCATGCTTTATTACAAATGTTAATATATTAACTATATTAAAACAGCATACCAGGCCATACCATGCATTTGTTACACATGACTGCTTTTCGCTACGGTACAGCATATTTCACCGGGATGATATTTGGCTACATAATGGAGAAGGGTCACATTAAGCGAATATATAATTCACCATGGACAACAAAAATATTCGCATTATTAACTACATATTTAATATTATCCATAATCATAAGCTGTATGAGACATACATCCCTATTTGGTGGTTTACCTGTATTTACAGCAATTGAGCATGCACTATCTGGAATCGTACCCATGTTAATGACATGTTACTGGATCATTTACACTTTTGAAAATAATAATAAGTTTAACGGGTTTTGGGATCGATTTTTACGGTTACCCTATTGGCGACCAATACGGGTCAGCCAACAGATCTCATACCTACTGCACCTGAGTCTGGGTCTCATATTTTTGAATATCGCACCGGAACTACAGGTTAAACCCGAGTCTATAGCCCACATATTTTATTATGTATTCCCGATGATTATATTATACACCTTTGTATATATTGTAACAAATTATGCTATTATTATACCGTTGACCGCGTGGTTTGAGATACCGTTCCTGACTTTGGCAATGAATTTGTCAAAAGTTATATTTGATAAGAAATTGTATGTTCATAATAAACATCGTGCGGATGCCATTGAAATGAGCAAGGATACAAATGACAATAATGAAATTATTCACTTAAAAATTTATTCGCAAAATAAAATGAATTAATGAAATTGTTTTCTAAATATTTAGATAACAATATTTTGAAAACTTGTACTTTCAAACATACTGAGCTAATAAACATATTGAAACATGCATGAATTATTATTTAATAATTAAATGCTAAATTTTAATAAAACAATAAAACAAAAGCAAAATTACTAATAAGGTTGTATTAAAATATTTATTTTTTATATCAATTTATTATAAGTTTTTGAAAATAAATCATAAAACATAACAAAACAGTTTTCTTTAAGTTTAAGTTTACTTTAAAGGAATTGCCCTGAACTTAAAATTTTAGTCTAGATTGATCCTGGTACTCTCACTATCCTTGGAGCCAATTATCTCGTGTTTTATATCTCGAGTAATCCTATTGTAAATGCTTTTCATGCGGCTATACGTGATATGAATGCATAAATCAATGCCTAAGGCTTGCGACCAAAAGCCGTAGAAATAGTAGTGATAAACGAATATTCGTTGCGAAAAGTATGCGGCGGTTCTCGACTCCCGGCCCACCGTTTTCAGGGCGTGGTTCACAAAATCATGAGGAGTGGGCACAAACATACCCGGCTCCATATTATGGGACATATTGGTGGACACGTAGGCCGGTATCAGACTCTGTATGACAACCCCTTTGCTTTTATATTCTTGGTGTAGGCATCGGGTAAAGTAGTCGATATATACTTTGGTGGCCGAGTAGATGGCTAGTAATGGTGTGGGATAGAGGGCCGACATGGATGACAGGTTAATGATAGCTCCCCGGCCTTTGGCTACCATACGGGGCAATACCAGTGCCATGAGTCGCGTACAGGCGTTGATATTGACGTTAATTATGGATTCAATAAATTGCGATAAATTCGGTATTTCTGTGAAATATTGCGGTCTTTCCTTTGGGTAACAAATCGACACATTATTTACCAAAACATGGATTTCTTCATCCATTTCCTCCAATCTCTTGAACTCCTTTTCAATAATGTCGTAGACATCGGTTCGTGAGAAGTCGAGGGCCAGTACTCTGCAACGGCACCGGTATGTCGACTCAATCTCGTGCCTAACTTTAGCCAATTTGTTTGGATTACGACTAACGAGTAGTAAGTTATAGCCCTTTGAGGCCAACTGTCGCGCGTACTCGAGGCCTATGCCGTCCGTACATCCGGTGACCACTGCCCACGTGTGGGGCCCACCCCTCCACTCAAACCCCCGCCGACACCATATCCGCCACATAAATACTGTCAATCTTATAGTTATCATCAAAATTAATAGTATTACTAGCATTACACCTAAATATTGGCAAATTTTTAAAAACATTTTTAAATAATAATTAATAATTTGAACACAATATAATACAATAATTATGAACTTAAGACTTTCCGCCTATTTATCTGATATACAAAATGTTTGAAATATCTTATTAAATAATACAGTTATGTTTAGTTATATATAAAAAAATTTAAAATAATAATCCAAGTAAAAAACATAATTAATTAAATAATTTTACATGTTATTAAGAAAATAGTAAATTGTAAAATTTAGATAAAATAATTATTATGTTTTTAATGGATTTATTAATATTATCCTTTTGAATATTTTTACTTATATGATAATTTATAAACAAATTTTAAATTATAATTGCAAACATTTAATAATGATTATTAATTTAACTAGTAATTTAACTGCAACAAAATTATGAATATGATATTTTGCTTTAATTTATGGTGATTATACTTATAACATTTAGAAAATATCATCATAAATATTTAAAATACATAAACAAATCAAAATTAGCAAATATACATTTTAAATTAATTTAAAATCGTGATGATAAAACTATTTATTAAAAAGTCTTTTATAGAAAAAGACATTAATATAAATTAAAAATATGAATATTTTAAGAAATAGACTTTAATTATTAATTTGAAAATTGAATTCACAATACAAATAAAATAGCTATAGATTTTTTAATGAATTTATTATTTTCATATTTTTACGAATAAGGACATTTTAAGTCAATTTGTAAAATATAATTGTGAATACTGTGTAACCACTAATTATTAATTTGACTAACAATTTTATTACATAATGTTTGAATATAATGATTAACTATAATTTATGGTGATTGTAGCATTTAAATAAATGTAGTCATAACCATTTAATATAATACTGTATATAAACAAATTAAAATTAGTTAATATAAATTTAAATTAATTTTAAAATCGTGATCAAAATTTGATAATAAAACTATTTATTAAACAGACTTTTATAGAGAAAGTCATTATTAAAATAGTCTAAGAATTCAAATTTAATTAATGATATTACTAGCATGATTTATTAACTACGACAAATTATATGAGCAATTATATTTAATTATTTGATTTTGTTCATATTGAAATTTAAACATAAAACAATTAACGATTTTATTTTAATGATAGCTAGTATAATACTAAATACTAAATAAAGTTAGATTTAATAAATACTTATTTTTTAACAGAATATATAAAAATTAAATATATTTTATAATAAACTTTATGGCATATACTGATATAATATCTTAATAATGAAAAACACGAGTAAAAACATCGGACATTTGGCTTCACCAAGGTAAATCTTGATGTGTTATTAAGTTTAATTTTTATAAATATCTATATATTTAATTTGAAATCTATATTAAAATATATTTGGCATGTAGAAAAAATTCAGCTGATGAACTTAATAATATTAATGTTGATGAAAATAATTTCAAGCTTCAAATTGTATGGCCTAATGTAATTAAACTAGGTCTATTACACCTTGCCGCTATACTAGCGTATTGGAAATTAATTCATGGTGATTATGAAATACTAATTATTAGTTTAGTAGTGATTAAGTATGTAATTGTAAACATAATATACAGCATTAGGTTTCAAACCAACTATTTGACAGTAAGATTTAAAAGAGTAACTATATGAATAATTTAATGAATAGTACACCAAAATTTTTACAAATAATGTGCATTTTTGCGTATCATTGCATAGCATTGTAAACGGAGCACACATTTTAGGTGCACTAAAATCAAGCGCTTTTGATTTACATTTAAATCATGAACAAGGTATAAAAGCTATGCACAATTGGTGATATGGGCATAAACGTACAATATTTGTGAACAATCTGGTGTACTATTCATTAAATTATTCATACATTTACTATTTTAAATCTTACTGTCAAATAGTTGGTATCAAACTTTCAAATCCTCCTTATTATTTTATTTGTGATTATATTAGGGGTGTATAACTGGAAAACTGAAATATTTACCGGAATAATGACACTGATATCATCTTTTGGCATACTATGCGGCGCCCACCGTCTCTGGTCTCACCGCTCATACAAAGCCAAATGGCAGCTCCGGGTGCTGTTGGCCGGCCTACAGACCCTCGCCCTACAGAACTCTATACTCGAGTGGTGTCGCGACCATCGCGTGCATCACCGGTACTCCGAGACCGACGCCGACCCCCATAACGCCAAACGGGGCTTCTTTTTCGCGCACATGGGTTGGCTCATGTGTCGCAAGCACCCG